CTCTACTTGAGCCCCCTACCCCCACCCATCACCCCACTTATTCTTCTTCAACCCCCACCCCACCTCCTAGATCTAGAATTTCTCTGCAATTGGGTACAGTTGTCGTTTGGGAAAGTCATCAACCATCAATTCAACGTTTGAATTTGTTTGAATAGCAGATTGCCTCGATTTAGTGTTTCTTTTAAAGTACAATTCAGTTTTTAATTCATTTTGAATTGTTGAACAAAGCTTCAGGTCTGGGAAAGTGATTTTGGAAAGCAGTCGAACAAAGTTTTAGATCTAAGAAAGTAATGGCAAGATTTAAGGGAATAGTGAAGGGGCATTTTTGAGAAGTCAATACACTCTTTATATTACATTAAAACCCGTGCCAAGTCAAAACGAGAAGTTTCAACTTGGACGGAGGGAGTATTAATGTAAATGAATTAAAAATTCTTAATTTTTAATTTTAAATGTTTAATTTTAGACTCAACAATTATTGTGAAACTTCTTACTGATAATATCTGTTATATTTAGATTACAAACTGAAATCAGAAGTCATAAAGTTCTTCCTTAATTACCATACTGAGAGTTTTATATTATAGAAAATTCATATGACAGTGCATTTTTTGTATAGTATGATGTTTTTTATTGAAGTAGACTACTAAAACAATAACTTCTTGGCCTACTGGCTTATTTAGTTGGTCATGCAGCGGGTGTTGGAAAAGGACAATTGCAAGTATGACATTGAACAATTGAAACCACGGAAAGATTAAAGGTTTGTAAGATAATTGGTTGGTGTCTTGCTTACATCGAAATTCCTTTTACTATTTTAAAATCTTTAATTGGTTGGCAGTCATTCACCAATAAAGAAATTCTGAAAGACTTTCATACATTTCTAACCTTATGTGTACAACAAACATGTATTACACAATGGCTCCACTTGATTCTTCTCTGTAGCAGTTGACTCATGTAATAATTTCCTTACTGCATACCTTTGCAATGGTTTGGATAGAGCAAGCATTAGCTGCAGTCAGAAGCAAACAAAAGTCAGAGGGAAATTTTCATATAACAAAAGGACCAGTTTTCTTAGACATAAATGATTTAGCGTAACTGGAACGAAATGAACTTAGAACTTTATTTCAGCTCTTTTCATCAAAGCCTCCAAGATGTAAAATACAACAACAACAACAACAACAACCCAGTTAAATCCCACAAGAGTAGGGTCTGGGGAGGGTGTGTGTACGCAGAGGAATGGGGATGAGCTTTCATCTCTCCGACAAAGGTTTCTCTGGGGGCCGAGTTGCAGCTTTCAACGTAACGAACTGATTGACGATGAAGTAATTAATTTCTTCGCGTCTGTCAAATCTCTAGGTATTTGATTTATTCCATCACACCCCAAAGCCAAAAAAATGGTGAAATTTTGGCTCCATCGGAGATGATGGAAAAAACCAAGATGTAAAATAGAAAGGAAAAATAATACAACCTCTGGTTACGCATCAACAGTATCGTTTTACATTAGCAATTAGCTACGGGTTAGACTTGGGAACCTTATTTCCTCTTCAGGGCTTCCTAAAACTTTTCAGATTCTTAGGGTTTCATCACCTGCAGCAGTACATGAAGAGTGCAACCATATAGGCTCTGCATCACAAACATGAGTGAGTATATTAATCAGGTACTATGCGCAGCTAAACGTAAGGTTAAACGTGGCAGTTGTATGTTATTTGACATATGACTATGAAGATTTTATTACCGTAATTTAATATGAATGTGTGATGTGTACCGGGGAAATTGATTTTGAAATGTCACCAATTTTGACCTTCGAACGCCCAGGCGGAGAAGCAAGTGCTATTAAGGCATTTTTATATGCCTTTGTTTCAATGTAATTCTTTATAAAATCCAAGCTTTCATCCCTCCTAGTAGTGCATTTTATACGAAATCATATCTTGTGGAGAGTGACACACCTGTTACATGTGCATGTTTCCTTAGTAATTTACTACGATCTGCTTTGTGTGGTTATGAAGCTATGTGTTGGATAAATAAACATTACCATTGAAAGGAGTAACGGTCACCCTTTTACCCACTCTCTAAAAGGGATGTTATATCCCGGCCTTGATTCATTGCAAAATCTTCCTAAAGAGTAACACAACTGGTTTCATTCTTTTTAAGATGAAAGTAAAAATGTTAGATATACACAATCTTAAGTAATTAGAATAACTATAACATACTTACTCTTCGTTCACAAGCATGAAATCATGTGCGGTTTTGGCATGTCCAGGAACGGAGACATACTTTCTAGGCATTCTATGAATCACAATGGCCATGAAATCTAAATGTAGCAAACATAAAACAAAGTTTAGATGTCACATCATTGTGATTTTCTATATTATGTTAATGAAGATTAATATTATTCACATACTGATTGGGGTTTTAGACCCGCATAAGTCATAGAAGTCAAAGCATGGTGTGAGGATAGTACGTGTTTTTGAGGTTGAGTATCTATGTCACCACTATTTGCTAGAGCAAGAACCTTGGTACCCTGTACGGAAATGGTTGAAAGTAACATAATTAATGCAAGTAATATGTACCCTTTAAGATTGATTATTTTATAAGCTTTATAAACATACCTCCTCATCTTGCAATATAAAAGGTCTGTACTTGTTAGGACTTGTCCTTGAGTCTTTGATGTTCCGTTTCTCCACAACTCAAACCTTACATGTCCATTCCTTTTTGTTGTCATTTATTCCACAGATCATTCGTGTCTCCATAACTAAAATCATTTATAAAAAAAAGTTTTATAAAATTTTAATAACCTTTTAGATTATTATCATATGATACGATTTCATATTTTTTGAAGGAAAAAACTATAAAATATTCAATAATATTACTTGAAAAAGAATAAGGTTCTTACTTGTGAACAGATTTTACACTTACAAATAGGCTTCGAAAAATGTTAAAAATAAGACATAATTGAATAGCATGTTACAACATACCATTCAATACGAACATTGGCAGTGGTAGGTTGTGGGTTGGGTTTGAATTTTTTTTTTGTTTGGGACTGGTGTTTGGGGTTGGTTTTAGGATAGACTCTAGGTTGGGTTTTGATTTCTGGGTTTAGAATTTAGGCATGTTTTTGGGTCAGGGTTTTGTGTTTGGGTTTTGTGTGTGGTGATTGGAACACTTTACGTTTGTGTTTTGATTTTGGCTTTTGTTATTGGGATTGGTTTTTGGGGTTTGGTTTTGGGGCTGGTTTTTGGGTTGTGTTTTGACTTTAGGATTAAGAGTTTGGGTCTATCTTTGGGATGGGGTTTTGTATCTGGGTTGTCGGGTCACTAAAATTAATAATTCTGTTTTGGCTTTGGCTTTTGCATTTAGGGCTGGGTTTTGGTGCTGGTTTTTGGGGCTCGTAGGTTGGGTTTTGACTTTTGGGTTTAGACTTTGGGTTTGTTTTCTTGTCGGGTCACTAAAATTAAAACTAAAAGATCTTTGAAGGAAGACAAATATTGTGAACCTAGGTATTACACCACAACCTAATATGATAAAATAGATTGGAAATTGAGAAAGTTAAACATAGTTCAGGACAAAAAATGATTTATGATTTTAGATTGTTAACCCATAAATGGAGTTCAAAGACTGTGTTCATACCAATCTGGGTGGGGTTTTGGCGTCTGTGTTTGGGACTGGTTTTTGGGCATGGGTTTTGGGTAGACTCAAGGTTGGGTTGATATTTCATATAATCAAATAGTACGATAAGACATCCACAAATTTCTTCTAGAGAGTGAAATAGATATGCAATGTAGTGTTTTGAAACGCTAAAAAGTCTTTGCATACGCTAGCTTTGAAATCATCGGTGGAATATCATAGCAACTGGACACGATGAGCCTCAAAATGCACGAATCAATAACAGTTGCGGCATTGAATGCCTCATTATCAAGAAAGAGGGGGCCTTGCTCATTAGCTAGCATTTGTCAATTTTTTTATGAAACTGATATTGCATTCAGAAGGAGCTATTTTCTTTTGAAACACCAGCAACAACATGCACTTATAAAGTCTAAATGATTTGAAGCATGGAATTAAAAAGAGGTTATTATGATTTACCTGGGATAGATGCATATTATTTAATATGAATTTATTCTCCAGATTATCTGCTCGAAGATCAGAGAATGCAAGTGGAAAGGAAAGATGAAATAGAGTTAGAACTGGTTTATAAGTAGCTTGTAGCCTGGAGAATCAATCAAAATTTAAATTTATATATGCAAGCATCATAGGAAAAAGCAAAATATATGAAATGAGCCAATTTACTTGCTAGAAAGAATCAGGTGCTTTGCATACAATAGAATATAACTAACATTCAACCGAAGAACCTGATTTTCTTGTATGATTTCTTAAATGTGCTAGTACTGAATACTTATATTTTTCAAATTAAAAAAAAGTTCCTCTTTTAAGAAAAAATGCTTTTGCTGATATTTATGAATTGGCCATATCTTTTAGAATGTTTGTAGTATATGAAAATAGGAAGGAAAGTACCACCAAACTGATTCACAAAGACACTCAGCACACCCTACATGATTTTCCATGAACAAAATTTAATTTTTAAACTTTATCTGTGCTCGAAAATACTCTCGCTATTCCTTAATAAAGTGGCAAAAACGGTATACAATGTTTGATCGAATTTATCTTAAATGCCACATATCTAATTATTGGTGCATGATGAAAACATAAAAAATGTTAACACCGAATATTTTAGAACTATATCAAAAGGACTATAGCATAAGAGATGATATGAGAATTTTTTTTGAACAAATGATTAACAAAAATTGGTTCTGAAAGAGGATAAACTTAAAGCGTGTAATTGTGGAAATACTAAAAGTAAAATCTATTTCAAGACGGATCAAGCGCATGACGTTGATTAATGTATGCACCTCTCATTTTTCAGTTTTACAGGATTGCAAAGACGTAAAAAACAGGTCATAATTTAAAAACTGCTAAAAAATGTATTCTTTATAGTCACAAGCTTGCAAGTTATTATGCAGAATGTTCAAATGAAGTAATTTGAGCAGAATACACATCTGAATTTGAGCACTCTTGAATACATGGAATTTAAATTACCTGAAGAATAATTTTTTAAACTGTTGCAGGTCCAGCCCTACACCTGTAGGTGAAAAATGACCCTTCTTTCAGTAATAGAAACAAACAACAAAGAGAAGAACAAGCCAAAGAACTCATAAGATTATACCTAGGAGGAATCTTGGAGATGGTGTCTCATCCCATCGCCCAAAATCGAATATAAGAGAAGGATCCATAAATACAACAACCAATTGCAGGGGTGCATTAAGTTATTCCCATGTTTAAAAATTGTGAATAAGTACAAAAGGAATGAATATGACATTAACAGGCTTTAAGAATGAAGACAAACCATTGTCTGTGGCATTTGACATAGTAAATATAGCCGGTTTAGTGGAATTTGAATGTCACATGGCCTTAGGCACCTATTTGTAATAGTGTGGTTTTGATTAGAGTGCAGCAGTTCATATTAAGCCAATTTTTTTTGGGAGACATCCGACCAAAAAGAGGAAAACCAATACCGGTAAATGGTGAAATTTCCATTTTGTTGATCGGTGGAGGCGTTGAAATTTCCATTTTGTTGAAAGTACCGCCAAGCTCCAACGAATAAAGAAGACTCGGCATGAACCCTGTCATCAAATAGGAAATGAAAGAGGATAATAAATAGGAAAATCTCTTACCAAGGTGAATATTTGTAAGGGTGAAAAGCATTTTCAACATAGTCTTTAAGAAATCTTGAAAACTACTTTATGAATATATATAGAAACCAAATAATTCTTTTTTTTTGTTTTTTGGCTGAATTCTCAGGCCTGTTTCTTCTTCTGTTTCTTCTTCTGGCAGAGTATGCACGATGTCTTCATGGTGTGCATCATTCTCATCAAATGTCAGCCGTTTCCGGCTTGGTCCTTCACCACTTATTTCCCTTTCCTTTTCAGCATTCATAATGCTCTCTGCAATACGATATCTTCACACAACCTATTCACTGTGCAACTCCTCCTCTTTGCTCCTTCGAATTTTTTGTTATCAACCCTCAGTTCACAAGCAAATGTGATACGATTTATCTTTCTTTGAATTTGGCTAATGTTTATTCCTCCTGAGCGATAAACGGTGTTGGAAATGGATAACAACCTCTTGAAATCTTCGTCGAACATTGTCGCCTCTATTTCACCAGTCTCATCACTCAATTGGACCTGGATTTTGTACCTACATGGTGTGTAGAAAGTTTAATTCAAAATAAGATATACTATGTACTTTATGTTTTGAAAAAATATAATGGTCTTAAACTAACTTTTTCTAATTCAACAGGCCAAACATGTGAAAGTAACTCCTTCTGGTGCTGTGGTTTTCCGATTGCAATAATCACATCCAGTATAGTAGGTGGCCTCATTATCAAGGATTTTGATATCAGCTGTAACCCACACCCCTTTTCCCTAAACGTAAGGTTAAACGTGGCAATTGTATGTTATTTGACATATAATTGTAAAGATTTTATTACGAAAATTTAATTTGAATGTGTGATGTGTACTGGGGAAATTGATTTTGAAATGTCGCCAATTTTGACCTTCGAACGCCCAGGCGGATAAGCATGTGCTATTAAGGCATTTTTATATCCCATTGTTTCAATGTAATTCTTTATAAGCTCCAAGCTTTCATCCCTCCTAGTAGTGCATTTTATACTACATAAATTGACAGGTTTGTGATCTCTTTTAATAGCTATTAAAATGAGAATACAGTATTACCATTTTCTCAACCGGTCTCAAGTTGGATCTTAAAGATTAACTTCAAATACGGAATCATATCTTGTGGAGAGTGACACACCTGCTACATGTGCATGTTTCCATAGTAATTTACTACAATTTGCTTTGTGTGGTTATGAAGCTATGTTTTGGATAAATAAACATTACCATTGAAGGGAGTAACGGTCACCCTTTTACGCAAAATTATTGGGTGTCGCCCACTCTCTAAAAGGGATGTTATATCCCGGCCTGGATTCATTGCTAAATCTTCCCAAAGAGTCAACCCAAGTGGTTTCATTCTTTTTAAGATGAAAGTAAAAATGTTAGATATACACAATGTTAAGGAATTAGAATAACTATGTCATACTTACTCTTCGTTCACAAGCATGAAATCATGTGCGGTTTTGGCATGTCTAGGAACGGAGACATACTCTCTGAATCACAATGGCCATGAAATCTAAATGTAGCAAACATAAAAAAAATGTAGGTGTCACATCATTGTGATTTTCCATATTATATTAATGAAGATTAATATTATTCACATACGGATTGGGGTTTCAGACCCGCATAAGTCATAGAAGTCAAAGAATGGTGTGAGGATAGTGTTTGTCTCAATTGTTGCCTGAATTTGCTCTGATTTTAGGGCTGCCTCAATCCAAGTCTTTTTACTCAACATCCAAATGTAATTATAGTTTGCGGATGGGGGATTACCACTATACTTGGTTAGGCCTGGCAGCAGCATTGCTTATGTAGTACATGTTTTTGAGGTCGAGTATCTTATCAATTTGTTCAATGTCACCACTATTTGCGAGAGCAAGAACCTTGGTACCCTGTACGGCAATGGTTGAATGGAACATGATTAATGCAAGTAATATGTACGCTTTAACATTGATTATTTTATAAGCTTTATAAAATTTCCTCCTCATGCTGCAATATAAAAGGTCTGTAATTGTTAGGGCTCGTCCTTGAGTCTTTGATGTTCCGTTCCTCCACAACTCTAACCTTACATGTCCATTCCTTTTTGTTGTCATTTATTCCACTGATCATTCGTGTCTCCATAACTAAAATCATTTATAAAAAAAATTTTATAAAATTTGAATAACCTTTTAGATTGTTATCATATGATACGATTTCATATTTTTAAAGGAAAAAACTATAAAATATTCAATAATATTACTTGAAAAAGAAAAAGGTTCTTACTTGTAAATGGATTTTACACTTACAAACAGGTTTCGAAAAATGTTAAAAATAAGACATAATTGAATAGCATGTTTCAACGTACCATTGAATACGAACATTGGCAGTTGTAGGTTGNTATTCTTAGTCTAAGGCCAATCACTTTAATATTTGTCAACCCTTAAATGAATTCTAGTTTAACTAATTAAACTATATTCCAGTATACAGAGTACTCCTAATAATCCTTAAGCTAGGCCTAGTTTAAGATAAAAGGGTTTTGGAAATCTTAAACTTACCTTCACTTAAGGTCAACCAAAAACCGACAGCGTAGTGTTCACTGTTGGGTGGGTGGTACCCCCAAACGAGTAGATACTCAAGTTTGGTTCTTGGATCCCGTACGTACGTTTTAACCCTAGCCACCGGGCATCATACCCGCAAGGCCTAACTTATACAGGTATATCTTAGAGTTCTTCTAGATACCTTTCAATTCAACATTAATATGGGTATATCTTAGAGGTCTTCTAGATACCCTTAACAACACATATTATTTTCACAATCATCAATATATCCCTCATGATTTAATCATTCATAATTTCCATTTTTAATCACAACAATTATCAAGATTTAATCATCATAATCATCAAACAATAATTATTACCATAATCATTAATCAACATAATATTCAACAACAATTAGCGGCCTAGCTTCGAGTGTTAACACCCGAACTTACCGTCATGCATCACATAACATTTTTATTTGTTAAAAACATCATTTTTATTGTGGTAAATCATTTTTATAATGATCATAATCAATTGGTATCAAAAATAGGATTTTAGAACTCAAAAATAACATTTTCAGACAAATTTTCGGATCAGAATTTCGGGGGATCGATCCAGCCCTTTGGATCGATCCAAACTATGAAAAATCACTCCCAGGGGATCGATCCAAGCCCCTGGATCGATCCAGACAGTGGTGTCTCAGCCACTGTTCATCGTCTTCTTCGTTCGGGTCCAATTTCGGAAATACCGTTTTTAGTTATCGAACTTCAACGAAACTATATAGATATGTTCTTTAAGGTTCATAGATCATTTTGGCATCATTAATTCATAGTTTTAACATCAATTTAATGGTTTATGATTCTTGGTTGTTTAAGCATGTAAAACACAAAACTCAACCAAACGACCGTTTATGAACGTAGAAACGATCTATACGAACATTCTAGTCATTAGATATATC